AATGTTCTCTAATGGGCAGAACTGTATCACAGTCCTGTATAGGCCTGGAGCTTTTAAAATTTTCACTTTTTATTCTCTTATGTTCCCTCCTGCAAATTGGATCCACCTCTGCTTTGGCCATTAACGTTATGATTGAATCTGCCTTGAACCCATCACCATTTAATTAGGTGGAAAAAGTTAGAACTGACTTTCAGATCTCTGTGAAAACTTCCTTTTACATATCACTCAGTTGATAGAGCAACTAGATTCCTCCCCTTTTCCATGAATTGTGTTAACTTCCTGCATAGGCAGCCTGAGTTTGCAAATAGTGGCTTAAAATGAGTTTCCAAACACAGGTGGTTTTCGACAAGCTCTAGGAAGGATGGGTGATAGAAGAAAGAGCCACAAACAAAATCAACTCTGACTCTGAGTGATGGAAATGGTACATGAGGTACATCTTTTCCAGATTTCAGCTGAATGGGCTTATTTCACACACCCACACACATAAACATACAAACCACGGTCACAGTCTAACTCAACATGCACTCTGACTAAGCTCAAAATGAACGTGCTATCCTTTTGTCATGTCTTGTGAAATATTGTTTGCTAGTACTTTCTCAGGGATGGATCTGCTACAAAACTCAAAGCTATAGACAGGATAAAGATAGAATGGGAGAAGAAATGTGGTTGTTCATGGTAAGCTGTGAAAGCTCTGGTTGTTAGGGCATGTTGAGCCATCCTGAGGGGAGTGGGGATCAGGGCCCAGAGATATTTCTTAGGTACACCTATCAAAGGCATGAGTGACCCTTTCTACCATCATTCTACTGCCCCCAAATTTTAGTCCTAGCGGGGAGAAGTAGTCAGGTTTGAGATATATTTTGAATGTTAAGGTATTGGCAGAGGTTGGATGGAGAGGAAGGAAGGCATGGTCAAAGGAAGAAAGAATTTAAGGAGAGTACCAGCTTTTTTGTTCTGAGCAACTGGGTTCATGTATTTCTATGGGGAAGCCTGCGGGGGAAGTAGATTGGGGGAAACAAAAAAGTTCCGTTTGGGTCAGGTTAAGTTTGAGATGCCTGTTAGATATCCAAGTGGACAGTTGGATATCTGAGTCTGAGTCTCAGGAGGTTATTGGGGGCGAAGTACATATTTGGGAGTCATCTGTGTCTAAGTAATATTTAAAGCCACAACACAAGATACAATCAGCCAGGGCATGAGTGTAAATAAAGAGGGCCAAGGACTGAGCTCGGAGGTATGCCGGCACTTAGTGGCTGGGAAGAGATGGAGGAAGCAGCAGAGGAGATGGAGAGAGATCTGCCAGTGAGGGCAGTAAAGACCAGGAGAATGTGGTGTCTCTGAAACCAAGTAAAGAAAGTGTTTCAAGGAGAGTAACAAACTGTAAGAAAAGACTCCAAGAGACCAAGTAAGAGGAGGACTGAGCACTGAACACTGATTTGGCAAGACATGACCCTTTCGAGCTCACAGCACAGTGAGATTGGGAACCTAAGGAAACGGATAAATTGTTATCCAGTGGTGGAAGTTGTGCTCTAGAATAACACATTTCTGGAGATGGGTTGAAGATGGAGCAAGGAGCTCCCTTTGGAGAGTTAAGGAAAGCGATGTGGAGGACTTTTGGATTCTGGTACATGGGAAAAAGGGGAAATTATTAAGTCTCATAAAATTGAAAATTTTTTTCTAGTTGGTTATTGATTTTTCTATAATCACTCATGCACAACTGATATTACCTCTCCCAAGTGAATATCCCACTATTATAACTCCGTGTGTATATATTTATCAATTATCAATACTCATGATAACTATAAGGCCAGTACACATACTCCATCACACCCTACTCCATTTGGAGGCTACTCTTGGAATTATATTTTTCTTTGTTATAGTCTTTATCTTTTAGTGATATTTTAATTCCCTTTTAAAGGTGTGTGTAAGTGAAGAAACCCTATTTTAATTATAATAGCTATGATGTACCTACCACCTACCACTGTAAGGCACTGTTCTAAGAACTATATGTATTAATTTATTCCCCCCCCCAAAAAAATCCTAATACCTCTGTTATGTCTTTTATTCCTTCTGTGATAATTGAGGCACAGAGAGGTTGAGTAACTTGCTCAAGGCCACACAATAATGGCAGAGCCAGTATAAGAACCAGGCTGTCTGGCTTCAGAGCTTACCATTTTGAGTGGTATGCTGTACTTCCATCCTTACTATTATATCTCTACCTTCCTGGGGTGGGCATCTATTAGGGAAACCTATTCAAGGGATAGGCTGTCCTTGACTTGAACTACAATTTTCTAAAGATTCAGTAAATCAGTTGCATGCAGTTTGTCATTTCAGAATAGTCTGGTAGGACACAGGGACTGGATACTGGTTACTCCACATGAAGAAGAGAGCATTATCTAGTTTAGTTTTGTTTTAACAATTGGTTATAGATTCTCATGTGTAAGAATTTAGCTCATAGATTTAGAGGATGGTGTTAAAAGGAGCTAGAGTCTTTGTGATGGAGGAGATCCCTCTATTGATGGAAACGTTCACTTAATTACTATCCTAGATGTATTGGCTCATGTCTTCATTTCCTTTGTAATCTAATTGAAAGCATATGAAAAGATTGCATACTTAAAAAGGTACAAAGTGCCAGGCCAGTGTGGCTCAGTGGTTGAGTGTTGACCTATGAACCAGGAGGTCATGGTTTGATTACTGGTCAGGGCACATGCCTGGGTTGCGGGCTCAATCCCCAATGAGGGGCATGCAGGAGGCAATCAATGATTCTCTCTCATCATTGATCCCTCTCCCCCTCCTCTCTGAAATAATATATATTTTAAGAAAAGGTACAAAGTATAAATTGGAACAACAATGTTTGGCAATGCCTACTATGTGCAAATGATTGCATTGGGTATAGAGGCTATGATTTCTTGAGAGCTAAAATCATTGAGTAGCCAAAATCTTTAAGATGCATTGATGTTCAAATAACAATAAGTATATGCACAATTGAAATATAAAATAATTCGACTCTAGTGGAATTTAGTGGTAGTTCAGCCTTTGATCTCTAATGTTTTTGGTTTTGTTTGTTTTTTATTGGCTGACTTTATCTGTAAAGATGGTGTTATTCTCTTTCTTTCTGACACTACACTGTAATTGCTTCACCCAAGGATGGGGATGGGATACATATGTTTCAAAAACACTTGAAACCTCTTCCTTTAGGAGATTTTGAGTTCCACCTTTGATCGAAATGTTCTTGAAATTAGGTACCAGCCAGTTTTCCTTTTCTGGCAGAAAGAGGATGTGGAATAAGTAACCTTACAACTATCCTAGTAACTTTAAGTCACAGACCCCATAGTTTCATAATTCATTTTTTCCCCTCAAGGTGAAAGCCTACCTGTTCTCCTCTTTATTCTGTTCTCATTAAAATATTCTTCCCTGGGCATAGTCATTATCCTAAATAATAAAAGGCTAATATGCAAATCGACTGAACGGGGGTGGGGGGTGACTAGTCGCTATGATGCGCACTGACCACCAGGGGGCAGATGCTCAATGCAGGAGCTGCCCCCTGGTGGTCAGTGCACTCCCACAGGGGGAGCGCTGCTCAGCCAGAAGTCGGGCTCATGGCCGGCGAGCGCAGTGGTGGTGGTGGGAGCCTCTCTCACCTCTGTGGCAGTTGGACATCCCCCCCCAAGTGCTCCTGGACTGTGAGAGGGCGCAGGCCGGGCCGAGGGGCCCCCCCTCCCCCAAGTGCACGAATTTCATGCACTGGGACTCTAGTATTTTCAGAAAAGCTTAAGGGAGCCCGCATTCAAATTTGCTCTTAATTTCTACAAATACAGAAAACCGGCTGGGAAATGGACACTGTGGCTCTCTCCCTGTCTGGTCTGTAATATTGCCATAAGCCATGTAAGCTGAGGAGGGGCGGGGAGCCTTAGGTGATTGTTTAGCTCTGGAAAGAAGCTACTTCCTGCAGAAAGAGGCTTCCAAACAGCCACATAACAAAGCCAACACTCACACAGGTTTCCTGTGGGCTGCTTCCCCTCTGGGGAGTCTGATCCAGAGCCAAGGGGAAGGAAATGCTCCTCTTACAAAATCTCAAATCTCTGACAACTCACCAAACCGCTCACTATTTTAAAAAGTTATAAAATCGAGGCTGTTGTGAACTTCTGAAGAATTTCAGGAACTTGCTTTTAAGAAATTAAATAAGACTTGTTTGGGAAACTAAGAGAAAAAGAGTAAAATGGAAACATTTAGATAAGAGATCACATTGATAAGCAGTTACACTCCAAACTTTAGAACGCTTACAAATATACATACCTGGAAGGATTAAGTCGTGACTACAGTATGTTAACTATCACGCTTTAAATTATTTTATCCCCAATTTTGTCCTTTGGGGACATACTTTAAAAAGTTTCAGATTTCATTTTATCTTTATTTTTACTTTGTAAAACCTATCAATTAAAAGTGTTTCTTTTCCTTCAAGATACAGATCGCCTAATAGATATTTAAACCCTTTTATTACTCTCCCCCCACCCACAACCCCAAGAAAATCAAAGTATAGTAGTACAGCACCAATTGTTACAGCAACATTAAAATTCTGCTGCTTATTATTCTCAACATTTTCATTTCTGAATGGCCCGTGGTGAATATAGGAAAAGTGGCAAGAACACTTCTTTCAACAGTTGTGTGATTAGTGGTGATTTCTTTTTTTTTTTTTTTTAAAGAATTGCGATGCAATTACACTACATTTTAAAATATTCACAATAAAAAAAAGTTGATGAATCTCAGGCGCATTTCAGGGGATTTCCCCAGTATTATTCATTTGATTTAAGGGGGAGGGGGGAGTGTTACAATACAAATCGATGTACCAATTGTTCTCCTAATAATTCCAGCAAAGTTGTATGTTATGCTAAGGTACCTGGGTCTTGCCAGGCCCGCACCCAATACTGACATGAGAAACCGGCCAGGCCCCTGGGAAGTCGGGGTGCCGCCTCCCGCATCACTCACCGGGCTCCCACGTCTCTTACCTGCATAGTGGTCGAACACGGTGGGCACGTACTCCTCCGGGAAGGCGTCGTTGGCGTAGCTCATCAGCAGGCAGGTTTTCCCCACCGCCCCGTCCCCCACCACCACGCATTTCAGCATCTTCTTCTCCTCGCTGCCCTCGCAGCCGCAGCTGCTGTCACTCTCCTTGCAGTTCATTCTCGCGGCTCCAGCTGCTGCCCCGGAGCCGCCGCTGTGGCTTCTCCCGCTTCTCCCGCAGCCCATGAAGCACCAGGCTTGAGATCACTTTGCTTTACTTTGGGTACCTGGGATCCCACAGACTTGTCGCAGGCAGCTGGCACATGCCCTCTGGCTTACCATGCTGGTAAAGGAAGGTGACACACACTCGGGAGAATCAGGAAAGGGGTCTGTCCCGTTTCCCTAGCACTTTGAGTCCAGAAACCCTCATTTCCACTGAGGACTAGGGGCTTCCTGGCAGTCGGGAAATTTCAACAGCCCGCGGGTTTCACTCTGTTCTCCCCCTCTCCAGCCTGGCTGCAGAGCCGGGATTTTGCTGAATCTTTCCCATTTCCCACTTCACAGCTAACATGGAGGAGAGCTGGGCTTTTTAATGGAGGTTCCCCCTTGCTTCCTCCAGCCTGCCGAGTGTCAGGAAATCATGGGTTTCCTGCTGCATTCCATATTAGGATCCGTGGGCTGGGGAAGGCTGCAACAATGGGAGCTCTGTGTGCGTGTGTTTGTACTTGTGGGGAACGCTGCCAGGACCTGGAGTGGGAAAGCACTAGGGGTCCCACTGCAGACTCAAGCTGTCAGACTTCCTGTTCGTCCGCTGCTGGGGAGGCTGTTTGCCTGTGGCTGGCTGGGAAGAGGCTGATGAAAGGGTGGAAACTGGGGAGTACTGTGGCCACAGAAAACAGGGGAATGGTGTGAGTGAGCAGAGAGAACCACACCAGGCGTTCTAGGATAACATATGACATCATCCCTCTCTGAGTCACCAGTTAAAAGCTCTGTAAATTAAAAATGGACAGTTCTTCACATACTTAAATGAGAAATCTTAAGCATTTCCTCCCTGCAATAAAGAGAAAAAAAAACACCCCCAAAACCCTTCCAGAGTTAGTTACATTGTTTCAAAGGGAAAGGTAGATCATAAGTGTAAGAAGTGCGTTCAGGTTTATAAGTTGCCACCGTTGAGCACAACGCGCAAACAAATGTGTACTCCAGACACAAGCATTTTTATGGTCGTAGCACATAAGAAATCCATCAGATGTGGGGCATTTGCATCTTCTTATTAGTGAATAAACACACATGTGCGTGGCTCACCCTGACTCTTGGAAATGAGTGTGTGGGACGGCTTTATTGATTTGCTTCAGGCCCCCAAATGCTGCTTTTACTTGGAGGGTCCCCTTTTTGATTTAGCCCCATCCCCTTGGGTCAGCCTGGTTCCCGTCAATTACAAAGGAGCCACTGGCAGCTAATTTATTTGTCTGTTGGATCACTCAGAATGAAGCCCCTTTGAAGCTCTGCGTTTGATTAATGTACTTGGTTTTAGAAAAGAAGTGGAACTCGGCAAGTGATTTTGGCAAATGGGTCAAGACCTTTTTTGATGGAGCAACTGTGTTTCTTTGAGATTTTTGAGGGCTGATTTTTAAGTATTCAGAATATCTCATTGATTTGAGGAGGTTTCTGTGTGTGTGTGTGTGTGTGTGTGTGTGTGTGTGTGTAGAGGGTGGGAAAGAAGTCTCTCTCTCTCTCTCTCTCTCTCTCTTTCTCTCTCTCTCTCTCTCTCTCTCTCTCTCTCTCTATATATATATATATACTACTGTGTAATATAGTGCTTAATGTCCCAAAATCTTTCCTATAAAGGGCTGGTGTTTCAGTCAAGTTACGGTGTATCTACTAGGTTATGTTGTCAAGTTACGGTGTATCTACTAGGTTATGTTGCCATGACAAACAGCTCCCAATGCTCCGTGATATAGAATAACACGTGTGTTTCTTGCTTATGCATCTGTAGTGTGTCTTTTTATCACCTTCATTCTGGGATCTAGGCTGGTGGAGCAGCCACATGGAAAATATGGATGGTCATTTCGTGGCAGAGGAAGAAATCAATGTGGGAGGTGGCACTGGCTGTTAGGCTTCCTCCTGGAGACAACACTCGGTTGTCTACTTGTCAGGTGCTGTGCCTATGGATTTACCTGTGTGTAGGCGACTGCCTTTTCCTAAGCTCATGTTAGAAAGTCTTACACCGGCTGACCACCCAACCTGACCCTTCTCAGGGCTTCAAACTGGGCCCACCTCTCTCTCAGTTGCTGGGCTGGCAGCACCCAGGTTCCAGTACGGCTCTATCCTGACTGCAAACCAGAGAGCGTTTGTGGGACTCTTGTCCAGGGCTCACAGGTTGTTTAGAAAACCAGAGGTCACTTAGTTGAGGTGGAGTTAGCAGTGCAAAAGTTGAATGGTTTATGCTTGGTGCCATTCTGAAGCACTTGAAAGCACCCATTACTGCATGTGATCTATATACTTGTGTTTTCATCCAGTCTACCTGAAACATCTGGAATATGGTGTAATGAAATTGCAGTTTGAAAACTTGTATTTTTCTTCTAGAAAATAGGCTCAAGTATGAAAGTGGCAGTCAGATAAATCTGTGCAGGTGAAGGAGTGACTGACAGTGTCGAGAACTCCATCCTGAAGATGAACAACATGTTTGGCAGACCATTGAGGAGTTCTGCCTTTGACCTTGTCCCTGAGACCAGGCAGTGAATGTGACCTGGGGTAAGTACACCGTTCAAATACCATGTGCTCAAACATGGCTGCCCAGACTGAATTCCTCTGTTACAAATAGGCCCCAACCCACTAAACACTTGGTCTGGAAAAAAATTGAGAGGTTGGATCGGGTAACATTTTGCTACATCCATGTATAACCTAAACCTTGTGCCATCAGACACAGATATTCAAGTTCGTGTCCATTGCTATGTGAACTGCAATTTAAGAGACAATTAGGAGACTTGACGCAACCAATTATGGGTCTTTTACCTCTGACTCAGAAGGTTGGTACATCTGCCAGATTGGATCGTATGCAAACATGGGTCAAGGCTGTTGAGGATGTGGGCTATATTTCTCAAACTTGTTTCATCATTCTTACTACCCCCCTCCCCCCATTGAATATGTACAGGGAATAATGTTTGAGACATTCATGTAAAAATGGCAGAAAAGTTAAAATTTTAATAGCCTGCTTATTATATGGACCAATTTGCCCATCTTACCTAATAATAGACAAACATGGTAATTGACCATACCTTTGCTACGCCTCCCATTGGCTAATCAGCGAGATATGCAAATTAACTGCCAACAAAGATGGCGGCAGGCAGCCATGCAGCTGGAATGAGCAGGAGGCTTGCTTGCTCCAGTGATGGAGGAAGCCAAGGTTCCCCGCCTGCCGCACCCTGCTCTAAGCTACACTCAAAGCAACAAAGTTTCAATTAGAGAAGGTAAACAAACCCCAGATACCTGCTTTCAGCCGGCCATGGCCACAGAGCTGGAGCGCAGGAGGCTTTCCCTCCCACCCGCCTGGCTGGCTCTGAGCTCCACTCAGGCAACAAAGTTTCAATTATAGAAGGTAAATAAACCCCAGATACCTGCTTTCAGCCAGCCGTGGCCACTGAGCTGGAGCCTTGGGTTGCTCCTGGCGATGGAGGAAGCCAAGCCCTGGCCGGCTCTGAGCTCCACTCCAGGCTACAAAGTTTCAATTATAGAAGGTAAATAAATCCCAGAAAAAAAAAAAGGAGAGGCTGGGAGCTTCTGTCGCTGGGGAGACTTGGCCAGCCTGAAAATGGCCCTCAGCCCTTCACCCAGACTGGCCAGGCACCCCAGTGGGGACCCCCCACCCTAAAGGTGGTGTGGCCAGCCTGAAAACAGCCATCAGCCCCTCACCCAGGCTGGCCAGGCACCCCAGTGGCACCCAGGTGGGGACCCCCCCCCCGGAAGGGCCAAACCAAGCTGGGCCCCCACCCCATGCCCCAGGCCTCTTTCCTTATATAATTAAAAGGGTTATATGCAAATTGACCCTAAGAGGAAGAAAGACTGGGAATGACTGGTCCCTTTTGACCCCCCCCGACCACCAGGGGGCAGACGCTCAATGCAGGAGCTGCCCCCTGGTGGTCAGTGTGCTCCCACAGGGGGAGCTCTGCTCAGCCACAAGCCAGGCTGACAGCTGCCAGTACAGCGGTGGTGGTGGGAGCCTCTCCTGCCTCCTCAGCAGCACTAAGGATGTCAGACTGCAGCTTAGGCCTGCTCTCCACTGGCAAATGAACATCCCCCGAGGGCTCCCGGGCTGCCAGAGGGATGTCTGACTGCCAGCTTAGGCCCAATCCCTCGGGGAGCAAGCCTAAACCAGCAGGTGGTCATCCCCTGAGGGGTCCCAGACTGTGAGAGGGTACAGGCCAGGCTGAGGGACATCCCCTCCCCCCCCCCGTGCACAAATTTTTGTGCACTGGGCCTCTAGTGTAAGAATAAATCTTTTTAAATATTAAAAGATCCACCTGAAGCAGAGTAACAGAATCTTAAAAAAGAAAAAAAAAAGACAATTCATCATTGTCCTTACAGGTTCACGAGTTTAAAGACTTGTGATTTCTTGCCCTGGCAGAATGGTCAAGAATGTACTTTAATTCCCAAGGTTTCTAGGTATGAACTTAGAAGTGCTGTGAAGACCGTTTGCCACAATGTCCTTTACCAGATGCCTGTCCTTCAGGATCCTGGCCATGTGGAATGATTGGGGAGTGGTTTCATAGCCATTAATTATGTGGTTTACCTCAAGCACCAAGTTTACACAAACTTAGCAGCACACGGTGAAGTCTTGTGGGGCGGGCGGCATTTCCTGCTCATTCTAAGAGGCCTTAATTCCTTGGCTCCCGCTTGTCCTCTGAGCTTTGGCAAATGCCAACAGCACATGAATTTTGCCAAATGCCAACAGAACATGTTTGTATACAATTCTGACTCCTCTGATGGCTCCCGGTTTTGGTGTGACTTTGAAAAAAAAGAGCCCAGACTTCCTCCTCTATTTTTCTTTCTTTTGTATTTGAAATTCAAAGCTACGCAGGGAAATAACGCAATAGGATCAGATACGCTGATTCTGGATTGGCCTCTGCCTAGGAGACTGCTTCAACTCTAATCTGAGGAATGTGCTGTGTTTCCTGGGATTCCGGATGCCCAGCCAGTCAACGTGCGTCACCCCCATTCCAGAGTCAGGCCTCTGGTGGTAGTGGGAGTGATGTGAGGCAGGAGGGGCTGCTAGTTGTAGGAGTTCTGACCTGAATCTCCCACTGGGCCCAAATCTCAGGATCAGTTGGGCAGTGTTCAAACTTAACATACTGTCCTAGGACTAGCCTGGACAGGAACCGCCCTCCCCAGGGGGACTGAGTCATTGCCTTCAGGGAGGGACACTCATTCCTGAACCTCAGATATAATTCTGCAATTGATGCTGGTGTAATATAGCTCCCCTCACAGTTACGTTAGAAAGATCAAATGAGCGTTTTAAGAAGCAGAGGTTCTTCTCTGAGGCAGTAGGGTAAGCCATTAAATCCAGGGTGTTCAGATGCCACCATTCTCTCCTCCGTTACCAGGGTAAATGTCATCACGGCACGGGTTCTAGCTGCATCTGGACATGGCCACCAGATCCTTCTCAAACCTGAGCTCCAGGCGTCTGTCGCAGACTGATTGGCATATAAAGTAAAATCCTCTTCTAACCCTGCTCAACCTGCACCAGCTACAGAAAGTAACTCCTTTTATATAATCAAGGGGGAAGGAGAAAAGGCAGATGCATCTTCTAACATTTAATGAACAACTATTGTATGTTAGACACTGTGCGAAGAAATTTCGTACACTTATTCCATTCAATCCTTTCAGTAATCCGGGTGGCAGGTGTCACGATTTCCATTGTTCTTAAATGGAAACAGTCTCAGGCCCACGTCACAGAGGTGGTAGGTTAAGTGATGAAGCAGGGGTTCAAGTCCAAGTCTGAATCTGAAGGCCATATCACACTTGCTCGTCAAGCCTTTTTGGGATCATTGTTAATAACCACTTGTTTTTATGATTTTAAATGTAGTGTATAGGTTTGGGGAAATGGCTGAAAGTACAGTTTACCATGAATCTATTAATTTCTACAACAGATATTCCTTGAGTACTTACCAAGTACTGGGGATATTGTGGTGAGCAAATCAGATTTAAAAATTATTTTCCCATGGAACGTACATTCTAGTGGGAGAAAGTAAATAATAAATAATGAGCAGAGTAAATATGTAAATTATCTTCATAGTGCTATGGGAAAATAAGAAGACTGTAGCAAGATAAGGATAATTGGCTAGAGAAGAGGGCTGGGTTCTCAGAGACTGGATGTTTAATAGGGGCTGTCTGATATGTGGGGGAAGAGTGTGTTATACAGAGGGACTAGCTAGTTTAAAGGCCCTAATGTGAGAGTATCCATAAAATATTTGAGCTCCAGTGTGCCTTAAACAGAGCGAGCGAGGGATAAAGCAATGCGGGCGGGACACTAGGCTGGGAGCATAGCGCCAGACTGAGGAGTCTTTTAGGGTCATGGGTATGAACTTTGGCCAAGTGTGATGGGGAGCCACTGAAGGGTAGGAGCAGAGGAGTGATATGATATGATCGGGTGTATTTTAAAAGGATCATTCTGGCTTCTCTGAAGATCGTAGACTGGGAGTGAGGGGAGGATGAAAACAAGGAGCTCTGCTGTAATAATCCAAGTGAAATATGGTGGTGGCTTGGACCAGGGAGGAAGTGGAGAGAAGAGGTCATATTCTGGGTATACCAATGGTCTAAAGCAGTGGTTCCCAAACTTATTTGGCCTACCGCCCCTTTCCAGAAAAAATATTACTCAGCCCCTGGAAATTAATTTTTTTAAAATTTTAATAACAGTTACTCATCACCCCCAAATGCACCTGTGGCCATCACTGCCCCCCTGGATCGCTGCAGCGCCCACCGGGGGGCGGTAGCACCCACTTTGGGAATCACTGGTCTAAAGGATAGGATGTAGGTTATGAGAGAGTAAGAGGAGTCATGGATGAATCTGAAAGATTTTTTTTTTCCTGAGCAACTAGAAAGATGGAACTTCCATTAACTGAGGCTGTGAGTAGAGATTTGGGGGTAGGGAAGACCAAGACTTCAGTTTTGGGGATGGTGTGTCTATTAGGCAAACAGGGACATATATGGGCCTGGATTTCAGGAGGGAGCTGGGCTGGAGATGTAGACCTGCTTCCCTGAAAAAAGGAGAAACCTCTTCAGGTAAGAGGAGCAAAGGAGATTGAGGAAGAGCAAGGAGAGTGCCTCCAGGAGGAACCCCATGGAGTGTGGTGTCCAGGAGGCCAAGCAGGGAAGGTGTTTCCTAGAGGCGGTAGTGACCAACAGTGCCGAGCGCTGCTGACGTTCAAGAGGAAGGAGGATTGACAAGTAACTGTAATGGGAAGGTAGTTTGTGATCTTGACAAGAGTGGTTTTGATGGAGTGCGTGGGTACAGAAACCTGACCGGAGAGGTTTAAGAGAGGAATCAGAAAAATTGGAGATATTTTTCTTTTAAAGTCCAGAATAACAGCACAGTTTTGGGCTGATGGGGATGTGCTAATAAAAAGGGAAAAATTGATGTCGGAGATAGGGAGAGAATTGTGGATGAGAGGAAAGGTGTTCACAAGATTTTGCAATGAGGGAAGAGATAAAAGATATTTCTTTATGACCTAATAATGACAGTTTTCTGTCATTGAAAC